TTCTTTAACAAGCAGGTATAGCGGGTCATTACTCATATCCTCACTTGAACCACTACTTGGTTAAAAACAGAAAGTATATTTTCACTGACAATTTGTTCATGTATAATTACTGTCATGTACATTTGTTCAACGTAATTGGATGAATAACAGAAATACTTGATTCACCGTTTGTTGAGACGTATTTTAAATAACTGCGGTTGCCACTAAAGTCATATCTTTAGATGGTGTGAGCAGACAAGATTCTATCAAGGGTTTGGTAGGGTCTGGTAATCCCACATTTTAGAGGTCTAACATCAGCCATACTGTAGATACAAGAACTTTCCATCGACATCTTGTCCAATTTGTGGCCAGTTTTCTGCAGTTTTATCTCGGAGAGCCTGGGTGAGAGCTGTCATCTCCCTTCTCGCGCTTCTTCATGCTGGTTGTCACTCCGGGAACCGAGAGCTGAGAGCGGCTCCACTTGTTCTCCAAAAACATGAAAGCCAGTCATTTCTGCCTCTCGTCTCTTTTCACGACTCTCTCAATTCACTACGATTTTGATTTTGGATAATTACACAGAGAAGCGTGGGTTCTTCCGCATTTGCCACTTGTCCATATGAATTCACTGCTCAGTCGGTCCGAGTTGCAGTGTATAGTGTGTAATTGCTGTCACTTTTTTTGTTTTCAGCGCATGTCAGTCTGCGGTTTATCGCTGAAATATCTGGAGGAAGGAGCTCTTTTAAGTCTGGCTGCTTAAAGTTGAAACATGACATCTTTGAATAAATATATGGCCACGCAACTGCTTGATCCTCGGCTATATTTGACTGGCCAGTAAACATTGAACATTTCTGACATTCTGTCGTTACAAATCATATCTGAACGCATTCATACCAACAGATCTAAAAAAATCGGCCATCCTGAAAACAAACATCGAGGCAGACACTAGAATCCATGCATTTCAAAGTGTGACATCATTCATGGCAATGCTGTTGTAGAATTTAGTAGCAAAAGCATGCCATGAAAAAGGTTGTTTCTCCACCAATTTGACTTGTAGTCTTGTTTTTTTGTAGCCAACCTTATGTCACCAGTTTTAACTCTTATTATCATATTCTATATCTGTTTCATAAATTGCCCTTTTGTCAATTTGTGAGTGACTTTCCTCTGTTCTCCTTGGACTCGCTCTTCAGTCTTGGTATTGTTCCTCGCCCTCCGCTCTCACAAACCGTCATCTGCTCCTCTCTTTGTCCTCAAGTACACGTCCCAAATCACTGTCGCTTCAGCCCACCAGCCCTTGTTCACAAAACCCACTCTTTCCAGCTCTGCAGGATAGGCTTGCATGTACTGTACATCTTTGTTAAAAACTTGGTTTGAGCGGCCACAGGGCTGGCTGGGATAAGACCACACTATTGGTATCCACACAGTCTATATTAAACAATGCATTAGAAAGTATACAGAAACACATGTATAGTATATAAAGAATGTATCTGATTTTGTGTTGCTAATTAATACAAAAATACATACAGTATTTGTATTTATTTTATTATTTTGTTTTCAGAAATTAAGGGATATTCAACTTTCCATCAAGTTTTGTAAGTTCCCTTTAAAATATGTTGGAAATAAAGATATATTTTAGCAGAACTTTTGGCTCTTCCTGGCCTTGATTTTTTTCATTGGCTTTTTTCTCTTTGGATTTAATTTGGAGTGCAGTTTTTATTCATGTGAAATTAAACGACGAATGTATTGAGCCAGCAGTTAATGCCGAAAAAGTTTCCATTATTTTCAACGCACTTCTGAATGTAACTTTTATTTTATTTGAAATATATATTGCACGAACAGAGCAGCAGGATCTTTTTAGGCATTTCTCATCATTTTACTTTTCCCCTGCAGTGGACAGAAGTGACCGAGCTTGTTTCAGTGCATGTGAATACAAATGACATCTCAGCAGGAGATGAAATGATCTTGTCTTTTTCCATCTGCACTATCCTTCTTCTTCATTATCTGTTCTCTTTTTATCTGTAGTCAGGCATGTGTGTCGTTCGGGAGGAACAGTCGAGCTCTCCTCTCTCTCTCCGGTTTTTGCAGTTGGAGTTTTTGTGCTTGCTTGTGCTAAAGTAAGGCTTCAGTGACAGCAGCATCCCAGATAAGCTCATCATTCAGAGCTATTGCAGGCGATGTAAAACAGATGAGAGGACACCAGCTTATGCCGTATCTGTTTTCCATTACATTGAAGGGGTTATAGGGGGAATAAGGGAGGTTAGCGCAGCGATTACATCAAGCCAATATGCAGTCAGTTAAGGAGCACATCAAGGTCACTTACGATATTGGCGTAAGCTCAAGGACCTGATAGCATAGGTGGATGGATGATAAGACGGAAACAAAATCTCCTGCATGTGACAGTAAACGATTGTGGTAATTGTCAAAATGTGCTTCATTGTGTCTCTGTAGTAGCGTCCATTCTACTGCTTTTTACAACTTAAATTGCGCATGTTCATGTGTGTCGTGTAAATGTAAAAGGTAAACCGTGATCTTTTCTTCAATATAAGAACAAAAAATCAAAATGATATTGGAGGGACCTCAAAAAATTCTCAGAATTTGATTCGCAAGGGGGGCCGCAGTGCTCCAGGGAGAAGCTGTTGCAGTAGACCAATACAGTAGCATATGTTTTCAGTTTTTATTGACTTTGGTAAGAAGAAGATTGTGTCAGGTTTCGTGAAAGAAGAAAGCATTTAGTTACTTGGAATAGTTTACATTCAATACGTGATAGTCATAACTAATTTACCAAAAAGTTGGTTAAAACATTTAATCATCATATTCTTTGTATAATCCTTTATTTGGCCTATTACCCAAGCACCTCTACTCCAAATCTATAATGAAGGAGACCTATGTCCAGTCATTATAGAACCAGTGCACATTAGAATCTCTTGTGCTGTGTGAGTGTTTGGGTGTGTGCTTTCTTGTGGGCGCCGCAGGCCAGAAAAGTCTAAATTAAAGATGACTTGATTCTAAAGACTAATATGGCAATACGTTTTCGTTCCAGCTCTCACAATCAAGCCCCTGGACACTGCAGATTCAGCAGGTGGTCATCCCCATTCCACAAGCCCAGCCACCCTGTTGATAGAGTTTAATTAGTGTCGGCCTCCCGCTGAGATCCAAATCACCGCCTCTGAGAGAATTTGGGGACATTTTACACAATAAATAAACAATGAAAAATTAGAATGGAAAGTGGCACGCCGTTTGCTGTGCAGAGCATATTAAAGTTCTCGAGTATCGATCGAGCGTATCAATCGACTATGAACCACTGAGAGCGATTTGCCCATGCCTTGAACTTTGCCACACTGTCCTCCCTATGGATGTGGCATAAGCCGGAGCAGCGATGAGCAGAATTGAAGATAGCCATTGCAGAAGGAGGATGGAAGAGTACAGGCATATGAGAGACGAATCAGGGACAACTAGGAAGCCGGAGAAGGAGCAGTGAGCAGAGATTGGTGTCAGTGAGGAGGTGATGTATAGTGTTGTGGGTGATGAGACCGAGCGGGCTTCTCTCTCTCGGCTCCAGTAGTAATGTCCCTCTCCAAAACATCACTCATATTTAATGGAGAGGAGGAAAGAGCAGGGGAAAAGGAGCTTGAGAAGTGCATGAGCAATGACAAGTGTGAGACATGCCATAGACGTTCCCAGACACTTGAAGAAAATGCTGCGTAGATCTGCACTCTCCTCTTCCGAGATGCAAACGGGATTCTTTTGGAGTTAATGGAGTTGAGACATAGGAGCCTGGAGACTGCAGGATGGACTAACAGCAGAGGCTACATGTGATTGTTTTTTATTTTTTTATATGAAACTCAAAAAAAACTTTCTCTTCAGATCAGAGGAGCTAGAGAGTTTATAATACCCATCAACAATCCTTTATAGTTGCAGTCAGGGATTTTTCCTAAAAGTAGTCAAGTTATCATGTGTTTTCAAATAGTAATGAGATTGGAATGCCTATAGTCTCCAAAAATTAATAAAACACATTTTGGAGGGGATTGATAAAAATAAACCAATGGGATTCTTTCATCCCCAACGAACCAATGGGATGCCTTTATCCCCCTCCATCCTCTTCCTGTAAAATGCTGGATGTTTGGTTTGGTGTAGAGCCGAGGGGAGAGGGGAGGGGGGAGTGGTTTCGAGTTGGTGCTACGGCTAATCTAACAAGATCGCATACTGCACCTTTAATCTTTCAATGTAGCTATAGAAGGAAAGGCCAAAGCTACTACCTGGCCGCCAGTTAACTACAAGGTCAATAAACTGTTATACTGAGTCGAAACACTGCAGAGATTGAAAGCATGCACAATTACATGCAACTTTTACCATGTTTATATTATGTATTGATATTTCCTTCCCAAAGGCATTTGCAGAAGGTAAATGCTGAAGAAAAGCAGGAGAAGGAGAATTAATTTCCATAAAATAAAAGCAGTTTGTCAGAGTGTACAGTAAACACATGTAGAATGTGCCTAACAGCGAGTTTGTTTACCCTTGTCAACACCCACTTCCTGCTCTTCTCTGGATATAAATGTTTTAGTTGTTACCAGGCTGTAATCAAAATGAGGCCTCTGCACGCTCTCCGCATCTAATTAAAACGCTTTTTTAAATCCTCTAACAAACTCGTCAGTGTATTGTCAGTATGTTAGTCGATGCATAATAGCAAAACTTTCCCCTATGGCTTCAGGAAATTGTGTGGAATAATAAGGATGTTAAATGAGTATGGACTTCTTAAAATAAACTACCTCTTTTTTAATGATTGGTTTGCTTGCTGGGAATGTTCCAGAGACATTCCATTCCTCCATCTCTTTTTACACGTCTTATTTTCTTGAAGGGAATAGTCTAAAACATGCATTCTGACTGTGAGTGGCCTCATTTGTCACAGTTACCGTTCTCTCTGCTGATGGGAATATTGTACATTACAGAAAGGCTAAAGCATGTAGTATATACCACCACGGACGAAGGGATGCGGCTGAATAACATATATTTTATTTTGATTTCAGGTTCTGGGCTGAACGATGGTCAGTGGCACAGCATTCGTCTGGTTGCCAAGGAGAACTTTGCCATGCTGACCATAAATGGAGAGGAGGCTTCGACGGTGCGGTCTACCTCTCCCCTCAGCATCACCACGGGAGGGACCTATCACCTGGGCGGTAAGAGTGTCACAAAATCATATTTGGAATGAAAGAAAACTACACTTTCTTCTTTCTACTATGCCCAAAAGTGTGTCCCAAACTGCTTTGTTCGTGTATAACTCTGTTGCTGCTATGAATAAGTCATGATAGCTTTTATGTCTGCTGTTGTATCCCTTGGACCCAAGTTTACGGTCTCACTTTGTTTAGTTCAAAAGGAAGGAGCTAGCTTGGAATTAGCCCAGCCACTCCACCAAGAACATTTCTGGTCAGTACACCCCACATGTATTGGGGTTCAGCTCGTCCGGTGAGATAGACCAAATCCCAAGGTTACAAAGGTACATTGCCGTTGTCAATTCTAATTCTCTCTGCAAAAATACCTGTTAGCAGTATCTTTATATTTAGCACGCAAGAGAGATGACTGAACAAGCATTGATGGTAAGAGTTCAATACGGGTGACCATGGCATGTTATACCTCATTTGAAATCTTATTTGCTGTAGAAAAATTTTCTCAAAATGTAGTCGAACTTTGGCCCATTTATGGTTCAATCTAAAAAAAAATTGGCACATACATAGAGTAACACACAGTTAAATCCAAAAATGTTTTGTAACCTAAAGTATGAGGTACAATAACATAACAACAATAACCAAACTAATTGTGTTATTTCAATGTATATTATAGGAGACAAAAATGTAAAAATAATCCTTTTGTCAAAACATGTGCGGAAAAGACAGATGCAGAACTACAAACAAGCTTTCCACTAAAAAACAATAGACCTGTAAAAGTATAGTCTGCTAAACATTTGACCCCAGACCAAAATGAGTCTGACCCTGCTGCTCTATAACACTAAGTCTGTTCTGTGAATGATGCTTTCACAAAGCAGATGGCAAAATGGAAGCTTGATGCAAAGCAGTCTGTGAGCCGACCGTGGTGCAAATCTGTTCGATAAATCCAGTCATTTAACAGATGTTTCCAGTTTAAGATTGAGTCAGCATCTATGGTTATTGCCATCTGAATAAATTGCACTGCGATTTCCCACAATTCGTCAGACGTGGAACGAAGCAGTTTTGAAGTAAATATATAGAAGTTTGAAAATGTATTATTTGGTGCATTACAGAATAATTACAAAGCTAGTATACTGAATATGCCTTAGATAAATGCAAGAACAAAGAAACACAAGAAGATCACTGATTCAAAGAGTTTGGATGCTCAATCTGTCTGAATCACGGTGACATGGGGTTAATAATGCCAGACTACGGTGTCTGTCTGTGGGAAGACTGTGTAGGAACTGGCACCTGTATGAAATTACAGTAACTGAGTGAGACAGATCACTGCAGCACACCTCCCCCTCTGCTTTCTCTCTCTCCCTGGGTCTAAACTGAGTCTCCGTCAACTAAAACCATTTCCCTGGTCCAGTCAACAAGGATCAGAGCGCTGCAGACACATCCTGCTGTCGTCGTTCTTTGTTTACACATGGGGCCAAATGAAAATCTCTTATTCCACTTTTTATTTACGAAGCAGGTCTTAATGCGCCAGTCTCGTTTCGACCAAGATATATCCAAAGCTTGTTTTGGATATTTTTGGATTGCTGTGAAGTATTTCATTACCCACGCAGCCAATAAGTAAATGCATAGTGCGGGAGTCATTCAATCAAGTGTTGCATCTTTTAGAAACTTTCTTCTACTTTCCAATCGGTGGTATTGGTTTTCTGCACTTTCTTCCTCTTCTGTCTCGTCTCCATTTTGATCCAATTGATGATTTATTGATCTGTGTAAGCTGAGTGGGGAATAGAAAGTGGTAGGTAGGAAATTATCTTGGCAAAGTGTCTGGCTCTATACATTTGGACAGAGAAAGATCTGGACAAACAAACATTAATTAGAGACACGTTTTAAAGAGAACTCTAGCTTTAGTAGTTACTTTGTGTGAAGTGAAGTTACAATACGGGTAAGAACTATCTGCGAACCTTAATTGGTTTGCATAAATGTATGGATTTACCTTGCGGTGTTCCAACTGGCAGTGTGAGCTGAACTGGCAGCTACTGTGAAGGCTTTTGTTTTGTTTTTAGCTGGACCTAACAAATGCCAAGAAACATGGAATAAGTTATTTCTGAGGTAAACAGAAGGCTATGGGAATTATATGGCTTCTGAATAAGTTTTTCCTTTCCCATATCTACTACGCATTTGTTAACCTTGATTTTTTGTATATGTACAGTATGTATATCTAAATGCGTAGGCGTCTTTGCAATGCGTCCGTATACTTCCATTAGCTCTCTGTACATCCAAAAAATGTTGGCTATTTTTCAGCCTTGTCAGTTTGAACAGATAATTCCATCCATGTACAGGGGTTACAGAGTAATATAGTGAATGTACAAAAGATAATTTAGCCTTTAGCTTGCCCTCAATTACTCTGTGTGATGGCTCAGTCTGATGAGTCAGAAAGGCCAAGCGCATTAAGCTTTTCTCTGCTCCATCAGCAGCTTTATGTGTGTATGTTAAACTGCCCACTGCGCCCAATTAGATAAATATTGAAATGATTTACTTGTTTTATTATAATATATTGTTGCATGGAGATTCTGGACAATGAGTCTTTTATGCAACCATTTGCTTCACTTCTCATCACTCATGGCTCCAGACAAAATTATTGTAATTGACTGATGGAGGAAAGGTGATAATGATGAAGTTGAAAAACGTTTTTGCATTACTGTTTTTTTTTTTTTTTTACAAAACACGGGTACATATGCAGTTCAATCTTATTGCAATGCCGCACAACAAAAACCAAATCTCATAAACTCAGAAATAACCTTATGTACATCTCACCTGAATAAAATATTATAAAGTACTGTAGATTAGACCCAACTTCATCTGCTCTTGTTTTAGTAAGACACACTTTCATTTGCAAAATATTTTTAGATAAAATACTTGAATAATTCCCCCTTATATTTGCAACTTTATCTTCATGCTTCCAAATAATTTTCTTGTCACTTCCCAGGCTTGAACTTATTTTCTTTTTTTGTGATAAATTCTTTATTGATTTTTCATTCTTGTTTCCGTCACCAAATACATGTGATCCAAGGTGTTACATTATTGTACTTTTATGTTGTCTACTCACACGTCAAAACAAATACATGCCTACAACACATTTGCCCTCACCACACGCACACCATTCATTCTCATCCGTCCATCATCATACTTAAAGTACACACATCAACAACATACGAAAAAAAAAATAATAATAATAATAATAATAATAATAATAATAAAATAAAATAAAAGAAATACAACCCATGGCGGCTACCCTCCCCCCTCCCCCCTCCCTTCCCCAGGTGTCCAAGTTACATACATCCATACGTTAGTTAGGTTACATTACACATTATACTTTCTGAGTTCTTTTCCAGTTTCAACTCCTTCCAACTTATCCACTTATGTCTTTAATTTTCTCTATCTGTTCTTGCCACGCCATAATTGTTCCCATCTTTGCTCCATGCATCCTCGCTACTGACAGCTCCATGTTTGTAATGTCTATGAAAGTCCTGATCCACTGCTGCCTGGACAGTGTGTGAGGTGGTTTCCAGCGGAGGGCCAACATTTTCTTGGCCGCTGTGACTCCAGCCAGGAGGAGACGTGTCTGTGCTCTGCTTAGGTCCATGCCTGTAGTGTCATTCAGTAGTAACAGTGTAGGAGAACAGGGCACTGCAAGACCAAGCACTTCAGTCAGAGATGCACACACTACCCCCCAAAAGTGATTCACAGGTTTGCACTCCCAGTACATGTGCATAAAGGTCCCCATCCGGTTCTCCTTACATAATGTACACTGTGGCTTTGCCACCAAGTTCATATGATATGCCTTCTTTGGTGTCAAATATGTCCGATGAATGTAATTAAAATGTATCATCTGATGGTTGGGGTTCCTGGAGGCAGCTCCCCCAGATCTCCAAATTGTGCTCCAGTCCAGTGCCCCTCTGTCATATTGTTCCAGATCTTTCAACCACACTTGGGTAATGGGTAAGCATGGTCGCTTCTGATAGTAGTTTATACGTTTGGGTGACCACTTTCTTTTTCCCTGCTCTGCCTGCCACTATTGTTTGCATCGGGTGAGTGGGTACTCCTGTGTTCCAGGGAACACCATAAGCCTTCAAGGACGCACGCAGTTGAAGGTAAAGGAAGAATGAGGTCCCTGGTATATTGTATTTTCCTCTCAGCTCTCTGAATTCCAGCAGTCCCCCACTCCCCCAGATGTCAGAGAGAGTATGGATCCCTTTTCCCGCCCATGATGCATTAGTAAAAGGCTTTCCCCCCGTCAACAGTGAATGATTATTAAATAGTGGGCTTTGAGCATGCCACCGACACTGAATGCCTGACCTCTTCTCAATAAGGTGCCAGAGACTCAGTGTGTGTGCCACTATGGGGCCCAGTTTGTTTTTAGCACGTTTGTTAGGAATTGCTGCATACACCAGATCCTCTATTCTATAAGGCAATGCAAGATTCTTTTCTATTTCCCTCCATGAATTATCCCCTTTCACGTCAGTCCATACATTAACTGGTCGTAGTCCGTATGCCCAAAAATAAAACTCAAAATTAGGAACAGATAGGCCCCCTTCTGTCCGCAGTCTTTGTAAGGTAACAAGTTTGACCCGTGGACGGGTCAAACTTGTTATCTTTTTCCAATAATCGGCTGGAGGTGACAGAGGAATCATGGATGAAAAGAAGTTAATCCGTGGCAAAATGTCCATTTTAATAATTGAAATACGAGATTGCAGAGATTTTGGTAGGAAAGACCATCGTTTCAAATCCATTTCAACCTTTTCGTAAATACCTTGGAAATTTTTGTTAGCAATACTCTGTAAGTTTGGGTGAATTTCAATTCCAAGGTATTTAAATTGTTTAACTACTGGTATATTCTGGGGTATTAAGTTTGTCACAGCCTTTTCATTTAGTGGGAATAAAGCTGATTTGTTCCAATTAATTTTATAACCCGAGATTGAGCTAAACTTCTCAAAGATATCCAAGATATTGGGTAGCGA